CCCCAAAACCCCAAAACCCCAAAACCCCAAAACCCCGGGAATCATAAAAGTAAAAGAAACCATAATGAATTAAGTATTAAGAAAACTACTTTAAGAATATATTTAGATTATTATAGATTTTTGTAAAAAATAAATAAATGAATTACCTAGACGAATCCTGGAAAAAGACAAAATTGCAAGATAAAGCAGAAGTATAAGTATTTCTCATCTTTTCATTAACAGCTTGTAGGATACAATTTAGGCTAAAAGTATAGACCCAAATTTATTAGATGAACAGAGTGAAATTTCTTAGAATCAAGGGTAGATAATGGATTTATTACCTTAAAATAACTAGAATATGAGAAACATCGACTATGTTCAATAAAATAATATAGACAAGAATAATTGCAATGATGATGATGCATCAACAGTATTTGAACAGAGAAAGGATTCTAATAATCATAATGAAAATAATAAAGTAAAAAAGATGAAGAATGAAATTGAAAGAGATATTTCCCAGTTAGGAGCGACATGCACATTGATTTGTAGAATAATTGGAGTAGGATTCCTAAATTTTCCTTCAAATATTAGGACATACAATATCCTCATTTTTGCAGTATTCTTGTTCTTAATAAATTTAATAACCAACATATACTCATCTTTCATTATCTTAAAACTAAGATGCCATTTCTCTAAGCTAAAGTAATTTAATTTTTATCTCACTCATATTTTAGTTCACTTTAAGAAATCTCATTTAGTTTATTCAAGCAAAGGGCATGGGTTATTTTGATTTCAGGAGTTTCATTTTTTAGCTATATTCCTCTTTCGTGCATGCATATCAGTATTCAATCTTTAAACCATTTAAATATATCTATAGATATGTCCTCTTAAAGTTTTTTCTTTCTGCTAAGATTGATGTTCTAAATTAAAGATGACTACTTGAACCTAGTATATTCAATTGTAGCAACTGTAATTTGCGCAATTATTTTCACACTGCACTCTCTTATGAACTTTGAAAGATTTATTAAGTTGTCAATAGTATCTGTTATTATACTGATATTTATATTGGGTCTGATAATCGGCTAGACTATTGTACTTAATCTTAAAGATAATAAGGTCATAGATCAAAGTATTACAATGTTAAAATTCGAAGAGCCATACAATTTAGCAAACCAAAGTAAGTTTATGTTATTATTAATAATTAGATATTTTTCTAATGATGCTCACGGTTTCATCTTTCGCATTTCAATTTGAACTAAAATTAATCCCAGTAAAATGCTATGTAATGAACAAAGATAAAAATGGACTTAGAGGGATAAAAGCTGCAATATTTAGTCTGGTGTTTTCATTTGGCTTTTATATTCTCTTGATAATAGCAATCTATTTCATAAAATATAAAGTCTAGGATAAGATATGTGAAGATTGTGCATTTATTTTTATAGTATACAGATAATTTGACTAAGCCTTTGCTATTGCTATATTCACTTTTATTATTCTGAAGGGTATTATATAAGGTCTTTTGATGATGCATATTTCAATTGAATAGCTTTGCATTTTATATGATGAACTATTTAAAGGATCAGTATCTTCTAATACAAAAAAAATTACAGATATAGTATATAGTGACAGATAATTAAAAGAAGATGAAATTAAGGTCCTAAACTATACTGAAGAAACTAATGAAAGGTTAGAGGATAGCTTCTACCTCTATCTCAACAATTTCAATCAAAATATAGATCAATACAGCAACGGCCAGGAGAAGAATTAAAATAAGAAATTTTTCGTAGGTACTAAACTTAGAGAATCATATTATCTTTCAATTAAAAATCAAAAATATTGGATGGCTCATGTAAATATGAGTAAAAAGCAGAGATATTGCCTTACTGCTTTTGTATTTATAGTTAACTATTTCTTTACTTGTCCCTCTTTGAATATGGGTATAGTTCAGAGTTTGATAGGTTCAATATCAGTTCCTTTGCTCTAATTTGTGTTTCCTGGATATTTGAATTACGTACTATTAAAGCAGTCTGTTGGGCAATATCATGAGAATGGAAGTATTAATTAAAACTTATGTGAGAGCAGATCTTCTTTTGCTTTTGCTATTCTAGGAATATTTATACAAGTTTTCTACTCATCGATATATATTTTTAATTTAACCAGATAAGAATGAATTCTGCATAATGGGGTTTTGGGGTTTTGGGGTTTTGGGGTTTTGGGG